AAGAAGAGGAGAAAGGAGGAGGAGGAGGAGAGAAAGGAGGAGGAGGAGGAGGGAAGAGGAGGAGGAGGAGGAGGAGGACCAAGGAGGAGGAGGAGGAGGACCAAGGAGGAGGAGGAGGAGGAGAGGAGGAGAAAGGAGGAGGAGGAGGAAGAGGAGGAAAGAGGAGAAGGAGAAGAGGAGGTGAAAGGAGGAGGAGATGATGGAGGAGGAAGAGGACTGTGGGGTCCTTGGGGCTCTCTGGCCTTGGTTGTTTCCTTGCAGACGTTTCATGACCCAACTAGGGAACATCATCGGTGCTAAAAGGGAGAGAGGTTTACGGAGAGGAGGAGGAGTTGGAACTGGGACGGTCCGACAGGGATGGCACGTCTCCCTTGGCCTTTTTGGCCTTTGTGGGGGGTACTTACGATCCAGATTTGAAGTCCCAACAGCCCCCCCCAACCCCCCTTCTAGTCCCAGGACCCCACAAGGGCCCTGGGCAGCCGGGCTGCCGTTTGCAGGAGGACCATTTGACTTCTGGGGGTTTTCTTGGCGAAAGTTTGCCCATAGCAACCGCAGCTGAATTCACTGAATGACGGCTGCAAAACGAGGCTGGTTTAAGCCCGTCATGAGTCACAACCATGATGGGCAGGCTCTCCATGACAGTCGCAACTTGAGGACTTCCTGTGTTTAGTTTTTCTAAGCACATTATTACATCAACCTGCCTCAGAGACAGAGAGAGACACAAACGCACGCACACACACACACACACACACACACACACGTCCCAAGGGATGTCAGAAGTTATTCTGGGGGAACTATTTTTAAATTCACATGTTGGCTGAGTGTGCTGCGGCTGTGCTCGCTCTCTCTCTCTCTTTCTTTCAGGGAGTCCAAGAAGTAACGGAAGGAACCAGAAATCACCCTGATTTCTCCTTCCCTCCTCCCAGTTCAACTTCTGCTAAAATTACCCCTGAAAGGGATCCAGACTTCTCCACAAATAGCGAGCATTGCTCAAGACCGGCCCAGGAAATGTCTTTATTCGCCTTCGTAAATAACATCCATCCCACTGCAGTTCTACGGCTGGAGATCTTCTTAGGATGGTTTGATCTTCCCTGAGCCTTAGATCTCCTCCGTTGCATTGTCCACCTATCTTTTATAGACACGGTGTGTACCTGCTGATGGTTTTATTTAAACCGAATTCGTCTATATCAGTGGCTGCACAAGCTCTGCAGGTGCCAAGATAAACAATAAAGAAACCTTCGTAAAAATGGGGTGTTTTCTGCAAATTGGGCACGACTGAGGTCGTATTTCCCAGACTGGAAGGGCTGGTAGCATCCAATAAGCCTGCGCTGTTACCCCGAAATGCATTCAGCGCCCCTCAGTCAGGGCAGGGAATCTAGGCTGGGCCTGGAAAGGGGGCAGCGGTCAAGTTGAAGCCCTCCTTTGGGGGAAAAAAGCGGCATTTCATCGGTTCGGGCAGCGAAGTTCACCAACCCTTTGCATTATCTACCGCAGGGGTCTCCAGCCTTGGCCCCTTTAAGGCTTGTGAACTTCAACTCCCAGAATTCTTTGCTGACTGAGGAATTCTGGGAGTTGAAGTCCACAAGTCTTAAAGGGGCCAAGGTTGGAGACCCCTGATCTACAGCAGCCTTGCCCGCCTGGGTGCCCACCTCATCGCCATAGGACTACATCAAGAGGAAAGTGGCACCACCATGGTAGCCGGAGATGCCCTCAGGGCAGCACAGGCCGCCACCGCTTCTTCAAAGCCCGCCAAGGCCAGAAGCCCCCTCAGGTTCCCCCCACGGAGCGCCATGGGGGTGAGAAAGCTTGGGGCACAGGAGCCAAGCACAGAATAACAGAGTTGGAAGGGACCTTGGAGGTCATCTAGTCCAACCTCCTGCTCAAGCAGAAGAGTCTAGCCTCTACCTGGGATCGAACTGACAGCCTTCTGATTGTGAGGCGAGAGCCGTGGCAGCTTGAAGATGCCTGGACTTCAACTCCCAGAATTCCCCAACCTGCTTTTATTGCTTTAATCCCCTTTTTAACTGTTTTAAAATGTGTTTTGAGACTTCAGTGGTAACGTATGTTGTTGAATTGTAAGGGACCCGGTGTCGTTTGCTAAAATGGGTGGCGATAGAAAAAAATAAATGAAATTAAATGAAATAATAAAATAAATAACAACAGAACAGAACAGAACAGCCGCTATCCCCGCTCCAAAGACGCCCGTGAGCCGCCTCCACTCGATCTCCTGACTGCCAGGAGGGCGAAGCTTCCTGGATCTGCCACCAGAGGGAGACAGTTCCCCACCTCTTTTGCTCAACTGTGTCTCAATACAGGCAGGCCTCGACTTACAACAGTTCATTCAGTGACCGTTTGAAGTTACAACAGCGCTGAGCAAAGTGACACGACCATTTTGCACGCTTAACCCCCATTGTAGCATCCCTCTGGTCACGTGATCCAAGATCCAGACGTTTGGCAACCAACTCCCATTTACGATGCTCGCTGTGTCCAGGGATCCCGCGATCCCCTCTTTTGCGACCTTCTGCCCGGCTGAGTCCATGGGGGGAAACCGGATTCCCTTAAGAAGCACCTTACTGATTGGAGAACCGCAGGGGTTTGCTTCACAAACGCGGTGAGAAATGGTGTCAAATGGGGCAAAACTCAACACGTTTCTCAGTCAGCAACATAAACGTCGGGCTCGGTTGTGGCTGTAAGTTGAGGACCACCTGTCCCCTTTCTGCTTTCACTCTGGGGCAATTGTGAAGAGGCCTCCCTACACACACACACAGGGCCACCCTTTCAGCCGGTCTGGGAGGCTTGGGAAAGGGGCTGCAACCAACCACCCCGCTTGAGCTTCAGGTTGGGGGATTCCTTCCCCTGGGGGTCCCGGGGGTGGGAGCGCAGCTGCAGAGTCCCCAGCCCCCTGCTCCCCCCCCCTCCTTTCCAATCCTGCTCCAGTAACAAAGCCTAGCTTGTCCCCTGTCCCCGCCAACTCCTCCAGCCAGGCCCGGCCTGCCTCTCCTCCCTCTTCCGAAGCCGCCTCCTGCCTCTGCAGAGCTCACCGCTGGACAGCGGACGATGCTCCCTGTAGCGCAAACTCCCTCGAACGTGGCCGTCTCTCCCGGAGGCCACCGCCCCGTCCTTGTCGGGGAAGAGAACAAGCCGGCCAGTGTCGCCACTTGGCTGACCACGAGGAGGCCGAGGCCGGAGGAAGGATGTGCGGGAGTCCAGCTGCAAGGAGACAGGCCTGGTCTTTGTTGCTTGGCACACGGCTTCCCCCTCCCTCTCCCCTCCCCTCCCCCCACAAACACACACACATCTGCACAGGACCGGCCGGGTTTCTCACAGCTGCACGGAGCCCTCCCCCCCTCGCCTGGCCCTCCCTCCTTTGCCGGGCGGCTGCCCCTTCCGAGGGGGGGTCTCTTGGCCCTCCCAGCGGACGAGAGGAAGGAGGACACCTGGGTCCCCCTGGATTCAGCCCCAGAAAGAGGGACCCGGTCCTGGGGGGCCTGGAAGACCCTGGCCTGGCACCCAGAAATGGGCGCTCCAGCCGCTGCCACCCCGACAAGCACAATACCCCGGATTTCTACCTGCACCCAAAGGCAGAACAAGGACCAACAGAAGGACAGAAGCAGCCTGCAATGAAGGAGGAACTTCCTGACAGGGAGGACGATTCACTGGTGGAACGGCTTGCCACCAGAAGTTGTGGCTGCTTCATCGACCCTGGAGGCTTTGAAGAAGAGGGCTGGAGGGCCGCTTGTCCCAAAGGATATGAGGTCTCCTCCTTGAGCAGGGGGGTGGGGTCAGACTGGAAGACCTCCAAGGTCCCTTCCCGCTCTGTTCTTCCAAGTCACTGAGAGTAAAGCAGGCTGAGCACCAGGTCTATCCCCAAAAGGCCCTATAAGGCGGGGCAAGAAGCAGCCTGGGACCACGGAGGAATTTCCTGATCCCCCCCCTGCCCCCCGAAGTCTTTCTGGCAGCCCCTCAGAAGTGGGGGGGTTGGAGGGAGAAGCAGGAGCTGCGTGGGAGGCCCTCCACGCGGTCCCCAAGATCTGCCCAGCTGGGCCCGGCTCCTTCGATCAAGGGGCCTCGGTTGCGCAGGCGCCAGAGAGGAGCCCGGGCTCACTGCCTGGCACCACGGCAGAGCGCAGGCTTCAAAGGCGGAGAAAGGCTGGGCGGCCGTTGCGCCCACAGGCGGATTCCCCGGGTGCCAAAGCCGGCAAGCGGAAGAGGCCCAGCAGATTCCAGGCCTCCAGGGCAAAGAGGGCGGGAACCGAATTATGGGGGCCCCGGGGCAGAAGGGCACGGCTCGGGAGGATGCCACCGCTTGGAGGGCGCCCAAGTTGGCACCTCACCTTGCTGGCTGCGAAGAAGGAGGGAAATGCTATAAGAGACAGAGGGTAAATCCTCGTGCCTGCTAGAGCAGATGAGACCAAGCTGGCAGGAATAGCCAACACCCAGGAAGATAGATAGGATCAAGGTCCAGATTGAGATGACAAGACTAGAACCCTGGGCCGTATCTAACCAAATGAAATTCAGCGTAGAGAAAAGTCAAGTCCTACACTTAGGCAAGAAAAACCAAAAAGACACATCTAGACTGGGTGAAAACAGGCTCAATAGCAGGAACTGGGAGAGGAATCTTGGAGTCTTAGTGGACAACCAGCTAAATAGGAGCCAGCCGTGTGCAGCCGCCGCCAAAAAAGCCAATGCAATCCTTAGTTGCATTAACAGAGGGATACAATTGAGATCAAGGGAGGTACTAATACCACTCTATAAAGCCTTAGTAAGGCCACACCTCGAGTACTGCATCCAGTTTTGGTCCCCACACTATCAAAAAGATGTTGAGACTCTAGAAAAAATGCAGAGAAGAGCAACCAGGATGATGAGGGGACTGGAGGCTAAAACATATGAAGAACAGTTGAAGGAACTGGACCTGGCTAGTCTAGGGAAGAGAAGGACCAGGGGAGACAGGAGAGCATCTTCCAATATTTGTGGGGGCGGGGGT